TAGGGGGCAGTGCTCTCCTCCATTTCTAAGTTGAAGAGCCAGTGCTGTCTGTCCGCCATCTCTGTGGTCATGTGGCCGGCATGACTAAAAACTGTAGGCGCACGGAGTGTTGTTATCTTCCCACCCACCAAAGTGGTCCCTATTTTTCTACTTGCATTTTTACGTGGTTTTGATCTGCTAGGTTGGTAGAAGCTGGGGCAAGTAATGGGAGCTCACTCCATTATGTGGCGCTAGGGATTTGAACCACTGAATTGCCGACCTTTCTGATCAACAAGCTCAGCATCTTAGCCACTGAGCCACCCCATCCCAGGTGACCTTAACGGCCCACTAAAAGAATGCAAATGTCCAGCTGTCTGCAAGGAGTATAAATCCTTCCATTTCCCACCATCCAGTCAGAGCTGAAGAAGCTTCTTGGATGAGAAACGAAACATCTTCAAAGAAAAAACCAGAAAGTCCAGTTGCCTCTAAAATAAAGCACCTTTGGGACTGTTTATAAGTTCTGATTGGCTCTCAAATTTTATTTAAGGCCTTCTCCATCAATTCGTTACACTGCTGGGGGTAGCTTGAATGTATCCCAGCTCTCTTTCTCCCTGACTCCATAGGTTACACCTGGATCCACCTGTGCTGTTTTTGGTTTGGGAGGAGTTGGTCTCTCTGTGATCATGGGATGCAAAACAGCTGGAGCGTCTCGTATCATTGGGATTGACATTAACAGCGACAAATTTGGAAAGGCAAAAGAACTGGGAGCCACAGAATGTATCAACCCTCAAGATTACAAGAAACCCATTCAAGAAGTAGTGCTGGAAATGACTGGACATGGTGTAGATTATGCCTTTGAGGTTGCTGGAAGTTTGGAAACACTGGTATGTATTTAATCAAAATGTATTGGCTCTTTTGCCATTTGATGCTAGATTCAGTGAAAGCACTATGGTGAAATTTTGATTTAAAAGAACGTTCAGGCTAAGACAACATCTGCTACTACCAGCCATCTGAATATACCTCATTTGTGTAAACAATCTACGTTTTACTTTATTTGCATAAATCCATTCTTATGCAAGTGATATAAATAGAATCAATATGCAAGTGATAATACAATTTAAATCATTAATCTAAATTTAAATGAATTGTTTGAATTACTTTGGATATAATGGACTTAGTCTGATATTTTGGAGAAATACTGGAACACAGATTTTGTCCACTGTATCCAAAGTTTGAAAATCCATTAAGTCTGGATGCTACTATATGTATGTTTTCTCCAGGTTTGCTGTATTGATATTTTTGTGAAATATTTGTCGCTGCAGTAAAATGGTTATTTCATAAAAATCAGCCCAAAGGATCCTCTGATTCAGTGTTCTCTATTTCCCAGTAACCTAATAGGTTGATTTGGAAAACTGTCAAATGGGATGAGCCTGGTAGCATCTTGTAAGTTTAACCAGTGTTTATTTTAAACTTTTATGAGCTGCAAGTCACTTGATCAGTGACTTGAGTGAGTTTGAAATATACAGCTATAAGGCACAAGGGAGGAAAAGAGGAGATGGCAGAATAGTAATATAGAAGAAAGTTGTCCAGAAAAGCATTTTAAGCACTTAATCATTTATCAAGGTTTATCTAACCTCACATCAATCCTTATATTTATAATCTCACATCAATCAAGCCCTTCTGCATTTTAGAAAGCAATCTGCAACTTATGAAAGCTCAAAATAAATATTGGTTCATCTTAAAATCTTTCTGATTTTTGGCTTCCTTCGACTAACATGGCTGTCTTTCTATAGCAGGAGTGTCAAACTTGATTACATTGAGGGCCACATCAGGGTGGTATTTGGCCTTGGGGGACCAGGATGGGCGTGGCCAGCTCAATGTCAATCATGTCGGGGACGCCTATGGTGGCCCGAGTGCTCTGCCAGTGAAAACGGGCTCCCGAGCTCTGTTTTTGGCTGTGACGGCTTCCTGCAACCCTCTGCCATCAAAAGCAGAGCTCAGGAGGGCCATACGAGGCCCTCGTGAGGTCCATTTTTGGCTGCAATGGCCTCCTGCAAACCCTCTGCCAGCGAAAACGGAGCACTGCGGGCTGGTCCGCTACTGTTTTCAGGGCACCCTGCGGTCCAGATCTAAGCTCCTTGAGTTTGAGCCTTGAGTTTGACACCCCTATTCTACAGTGTCTGAAATAGAGTAGGGATATGAGTCCTCTTCCCTTCCTGCTTCTTGACAGCTGAGGTTCAAAGAGAAAGTAAATGGTCATCAAGACAACAATCGATAGTTCATCCCTCTATGGATCAGTTGTTGGGGTATAGTGGTTAAAGATCTT